CCCACCCCTAATCACCAAGTTGCATGGAAACTTTGTCTGAGAGAGTTTGGAAACTGGACGAAAGCATTAACTCAGTTTTGGAAATATGACGGAAATGTTTAATTTTGTTTTGAAAATGCGACAAAAATTTGTTTTTTACATAATAATTAAATAGTTTAGAAATGTAGGAATATATAGTAATCTTATAGGTTAAAAACAACCAAATTATAAGATTCAAACGGCGTAATTCGAACATAAATTTTGCAACTAAATAGTACAAGTCGTAGTACAAGTTTCTGATAACACATTAAAAATTTGATCTGGTGAATAAACAAGTAGCAGCAACTAATACATTAGTTGTGGATGCCTACCGCCAAGGCCTAGCGAGGAATCTTTTCGCACGACACTCCAAGAGAAAAGTACCACAATGTTCACACTCCTTAAAGTTAAGGAACACATTGCATTTTGATTTATTTATAGTCACCATAACATGAAACCACCATCCTCCCAAGTAAAACAAGTGGAGGATCTTTCCAAATTTTTTGAATTCGTTCTTTACATGGTTTTGGATTGGGAGAGCATATTAGTAGGCTAGTTCTCGTCTGAGGACAAAACAAATCATTGGTCTTTACTTTTTTCTTTGAAGAATTAAGCTAGGACCAGGTCGCAGTCAAAACCTTTGAAGAATTTTTTCTTGTTAAAATTATCGCAGTAAAACATAAGGGAAGGCTTTAAAAATCATTTTAACATATAGAAAAGACAGTTGAAACCAACTTACACGAGAGAGCGTAATGTTTTAGATTTTTTTATGTTTACATGGCTTTGAAATCCATGGTAACGGCCGCAAATGTAGTTGGTTTTATAAAGTTTCAAGTTAGAGAGTGCAAAATGAAGGGAAAGTCACTAAAATGTATTACTTACATTAGAAGTTAGAGAGTGCATAATCAGGTCAAAATGAGAAATTTGAAGGACTTTTAAACAAAGATTGTCTCTTGGTTTCAGATGTGAATAAATTGTCGTTTGGTTCTGTTGTCAAATTTCAATGATATTGTTCAGTTTTGTCAAATTTGGATGATCTCTTGTGCTTTGATGTTTTGCTTTTGTTTACTCGAGTTTGGACCTAGGGGAAATTCTCTTATCTTGGAGAAAGAAGAACCTCGAGTTGATTTGTGCGCATGCCATTCAAGAAATCAGATGACTGCTGGGCTCATGCATTAGCCCGAGCTTTAGCTGCTCTCATGAAGCAACTTGGAGTTATCAATATCGATGATCTTCCTACGGCAAAGAAGCTCCTCGCCAAGATCAATAAGAAGTTGTTATCGAAGACTAACTCATTGGACATCACGATTAAAACTGCCTCTTCAATACTCAAGGAGTATGGCTACGAGTTGAGTGCGCATCATCGTCTGAAAATGCACCGCGCCAAGGAGAATGAAGCCTTTGAGAAGTATATTGAGCAACTAGCCATAGGCCCAGTGACAATGTGTTTCCCCTACGTGGAAGGTTACGAACGTTTCAAACATAAAAACAAGGTAAGATTTCTAACCTTTTTTCAATTAGTAATTCTCTGAGTAGTAGTGAATTAAGGGTTGTGGTAAAATGATACTTATCAAGAGATCTGTATATAAAGAGTAGTAGATTGCTGTATTTGGGGTATCAAGAGATTTGGTCAAAGTTTGTGAGGGAGAGGAGTCTGGTAAGGTGATCAAGACAGGTCATTTCCAACTACCACAAATAAGTCTATCACGTTTTATAAGTCTACCACCAATATAAATAAGTCTACCATTGCGCGAACCATCAATAAGTCTACCGATCACAAAATTAACTCTACCACTACTACGAATAAGTCTACCACATTTTATAAATCTACCACCACTATAAATAAGTCTACCATTGCGCGAACCATCAATAAGTTTACCGATCACAAAATTAACTCTACCACTACTACTAATAAGTCTATCACTCAAAAATAAATCTACCACTACTATAAATAAATCTACGACTGCGCGAACCATCAATAAATCTACCGATCACAAAATTAACTCTACCACCATTAGAAATAAGTCTACCGATCACAAAATTGAATCTACCACTACGAGAAATAAGTCTACCACATATTATAAATCTACCACTACTATAAATAAGTCTGCCATTACGCGAACCATCAATAAGTCTATCAACCACTTAATAAATCTACCAATCGCAAATAAATCTACTATCACATGAACGGTAGACTTATTCGCTGCCTCATTAATGGTATTTTCGTAAATACGTTTTTTCTCTTCAAAGAAAATAAGGCTAAAACGGGTATTAATAGTTTTTCAAGGTTGTTTGAGTAATTTTTAAAGAATAACATAATTTTGTTCAAAAATCAATTTTGTAAGGTTGTTTTAGTAAAACTCTCAATAAATTATTGTAATTTCTATTTTTTTATGATTAAAATTATTTTAAATTGCTCTTAATGTGGTTAGTTGTACCTTAACAGTTGATGAGAATCAAGCTACACCAACTCTGCTCCCAATGTCGTTTGTGTTTCTGTTTTTTACTGTTGTGCGAATCTTTCAAGTGTACAAACATGAACTAACTAACCGATTTGTTTCCGGTTAAAGTGTGAAATGTAAACTTCGGTCAGAGAAAACCGGGTAAATGGAAAGTCATATTTTTCTGACCAATAAAAAAAAAAAAGCAAAGTCACCTTTAAGCGTTGGTCAACGTCGTGAGCATTTAGTATTTGCAATGACAATTAAAAAAAAAATTACATTTGGGTTAAGAGAACATAATTACGGTGTTGACCAAACAAAAAAAAACATGATTACGGTTTAATCGTTTAGTTATTTTCTAATAAAACCAATTTAGTTGAATTCTCAATATTCTATATGGGTTAAGTACGTTTAGAGAATCATATGCGCAAGCTTTAGATAGTCACATATATAAATGTCAAGCACCAAATATTAAACCGTGAGTCTCCTAAAAAAAATAATTAATCAATAGTTAGACTAGGCTTTGGTACATTTACTATATAAACGCTGAATGGCTCTCTCCATATGATACCAACATATGAGTTTACATCAAGAAATTGACATGCTTGAATTTTAGACTTCTCTTTTATCTTGTCACAGAAGCTTAGACTTCTTGATACTCTATTTTCTTGGATGTATTGTATTAGTTACTTATGCTTCCTGGTAAATTTGTGTGGCATAATTTGTGATGAGTATCAATTGGTTAAAGTGATGCTATGGTGTTGATAATTGTTACACTAATATAGTTATGGCATGTTGGTTATGTATATGGATTATGGGCATTAAATTATTTGTAAGGGATTGATTAATAGCAATCAGTTATGGCTGTGGAAGATGTCTCCATCGTGATGTCATCAAGGACCTTGATCGGTTCAATGTAAGAAAATAGTTTTTCAAGAAAGTAGGAAAAACTTGTAAGATGGGTAAACTAATGGTCGGTTCACTCCAATAAGGTTTTGTTGCTCAATATTTCTTATTTATTTAGGAATCAAGCCGAGAAAACATTTGAACTCTCGAAACCAATGATTTAACAAGTGTTTATATATGATAAACATACGAAACACCTTTAAGATGAAAAACGGA